AACATAGATCAATGGAACAAGATAGAAAGCCCAGAGATTAAACCCACACACCTATGGTCAACTAATCTATGACAAAGGAGGCAAAGATATACAATGGAGAAAAGACAGTCTCTTCAATAAGTGGTGCTGGAAAACTGGACAGCTACATGTAAAAGAATGAAATTAGAACAGTCCCTAACACCATACACAAAAATAAACTCAAAGTGGATTCAAGACATGAATGTAAGACCGGACACTATAAAACTCCTAGAGGAAAACATTGGAAGAACACTCTTTGACATAAATCACAGCAAGATCTTTTTTGATACACCTCCTAGAGTAATGGAAATAAAAACAAAAATAAACAAATGGGACCTAATGAAACTTCAAAGCTTTTGCACAGCAAAGGAAACCATACACAAGACAAAAAGACAACCCTCAGAATGGGAGAAAATATTTGTAAACGAATCAACGCACAAAGGATTAATCTCCAAAATATATAAACAGCTCATGCAGCTCAATATTAAACAAACAACCCAATCCAAAAGTGGGCAGGAGACCTAAATAGACATTTCTCCAAAGAAGACATAAAGATGGCCAAGAAGCACATGAAAAGCTGCTCAAGGGCTTCCCTGGTGGCGCAGTGGTTGAGAGTCCACCTGCCGATGCAGGGGACACGGGTTCGTGACCCGGTCCAAGAAGATCCCATATGCCGCGGAGCAGGTAGGCCCGTGAGCCATGGCTGCTAAGCCTGAACGTCTGGAGCCTGTGCTCCGCAACGGGAGAGGCCAGAACAGTGAGAGGCCCACGTACTGCAAAAAAAAACAAAAAACAAAACAGAAAACACTCCCATTTACCATTGCAACAAAAAGAATAAAATATCTAGGAATAAACCTACCTAAGGAGACAAAAGACCTGTATGCAGAAAATTATAAGACACTGATAAAAGAAATTAAAGATGATACAAACAGATGGAGAGATAATACCATGTTCTTGGATTGGAAGAATCAATATTGTGAAAATGACTATACTACCCAAAGCAATCTACAGATTTAATGCAATCCCTATTAAACTACCACTTGCATTTTTCACAGAACTAGAACAAAAAATTTCACAATTTGTATGGAAACACAAAAGACCCCGAATAACCAAAGCAATCTTGACAATGAAAAATGGAGCTGGAGGAATCAGCCTTCCTGGCTTCAGACTATACTACAAAGCTACAGTAATCAAGACAGTATGGTACTGGCACAAAAACAGAAATATAGATCAGTGGAACAGGATAGAAAGCCCAGAGATAAACCCACGCACATATGGTCACCTTATCTTTGATAAAGGAGGCAAGAATATACAGTGGAGAAAAGACAGCCTCTTCAATAAGTGATGCTGGGAAACTGGACAGGTACATGTAAAAGTATGAAATTAGAACACTCCCTAACACCATAGACAAAAGTAAACTCAAAATGATTAAAGACCTAAATGTAAGGCCAGACACTATCAAGCTCTTAGGGGAAAACATAGGCAGAACACTCTGACATAAATCACAGCAAGATCCTTTTTGACCCACCTCCTAGAGAAATGGAAATAAAAACAAAAATAAACAAATGGGACCTAATGAAACTTCAAAGCTTTTGCACAGCAAAGGAAACCATAAACAAGACCAAAAGACAACCCTCAGAATGGGAGAAAATATTTGCAAATGAAGAAACTGACAAAGGATCAATCTCCAAAATTTACAAGCAGCTCATGCAGCTCAATATCAAAAAAACAAACATCCCAATCCAAAAATGGGCAGAAGACCTAAATAGACATTTCTCCAAAGAAGATATACAGATTGCCAACAAACACGTGAAAGAATGCTCAACATCATTAATCATTAGAGAAATGCAAATCAAAACTACAATGAGATATCATCTCACACCGGTCAGAATGGCAATCATCAAAAAATCTAGAAACAATAAATGCTGGAGAGGGTGTGGAGGAAAGGGATCCCTCTTGCACTGTTGGTGGGAATGTAAATTGATACAGCCACTATGGAGAACAGTATGGAGGTTCCTTAAAAAACTAAAAATAGGGGCTTCCCTGGTGGCGCAGTGGTTGGGAGTCCGCCTGCCGATGCAGGGGACACGGGTACGTGCCCTGGTCCGGGAAGATCCCACATGCCGCGGAGCGGCTGGGTCCGTGAGCCACGGCCGCTGAGACTGCGCGTCCGGAGCCTGTGCTCCGCAACGGGAGAGGCCACAACAGTGAGAGGCCCGCGTACCGCAAAAAAAAAAAAAAACTAAAAATAGAACTAACATATGACCCAGCAATCCCACTACTGGGCATATACCCTGAGAAAACCATAATTCAAAAAGAGTCATGGGGGCTTCCCTGGTGGTGCAGTGGTTGAGAGTCTGCCTGCCAATGCAGGGGACACGGGTTCGTGCCCCGGTCTGGGAAGATCCCACATGCCGCGGAGCAGCTGGGCCCATGAGCCATGGCCACTGGGCCTGCGCGGCCGGAGCCTGTGCTCCACAACGGGAGAGGCCACAACAGTGAGAGGCCCACGTATTGCAAAAAAAAAAAAAAAAAAAAAAGAGAGTCATGTACCAAAATGTTTATTGCAGCTCTATTTACAATAGCCAGGACATGGAAGCAACCTAAGTGTCCATCAACAGATGAATGGATAAAGAAGATGTGGCACATATATACAATGGAATATTACTCAGCCATAAAAAGAAACGAAACTGAATTATTTGTAGTGAGGTGGATGGACCTAGAGTCTGTCATACAGAGTGAAGTCAGTCAGAAACAGAAAAGCAGATACTGTATGCTAACACATATATATGGAATCTAAGAAAAAAAAGTTCATGAAGAACCTAGGGGCAAGATGGGAATAAAGACACAGACCTACTAGAGAATGGACTTGAGGATATGGGGAGGGGGAAGGGTAAGCTGTGACAAAGTGAGAGAGTGGCATGGACATATATACACTACCAAACGTAAAATAGATAGCTAGTGGGAAGCAGCCACATAGCACAGGGAGATCAGCTCAGTGCTTTGTGACCACCTAGAGGGGTGGGAAAGGGAGGGTGGGAGGGAGGAAGATGCAAGAGGGAAGAGATATGGGAACATATGTATATGTATAACTGATTCACTTTGTTATAAAGCAGAAACTAACACAGCATTGTAAAGCAATTATACTCCAATAAAGATGTTAATAAATAAATAAATAAATAAATAAAAATGTATCCGCTAAGTATCTAAGTTATTCTGCTAAAGAAGGTAAAGGAAAATTTGCTCTTCATTAATGAACAGTTAGGAAATATCATCATGAAAATGGAAAATTAAATAAAAGTAAATGGAAATGACAAAACTGAAAAAATACCATATCTAAAAATGAAAAATTCACTGGCCAGAACTTAGTAGCATATTGGAGATGACAGATCAACAGAAATCAATCTGAAGAACAGAGAGGGGGGGAAAAAAAAAAAGACAGGCTCAACAACCTGTGGGACAATGTAAAAAGGACTAATACACATGTAACTGTAGTCCCCAAAAGGGGGAGAGAGGGGAACAGAAAAAAACCATGATAGGGCTTCCCTGGTGGCGCAGTGGTTGAGAGTCTGCCTGCCGATGCAGGGGACACGGGTTTGTGCCCCGGTCTGGGAAGATCCCACATGCCGCAGAGCGGCTGGGCCCATGAGCCATGGCCACTGGGCCTGCGCGTCCAGAGCCTGTGCTCCGCAACGGGAGAGGCCACAACAGTGAAAGGCCCGTGTACCACAAAAACAAAAAAAACAAAAAAAAAACCATGATAGAATAATGCCCAAAAATTCCCCAAATTTGGCTCTAGCCATAAATTTATAGATTCAGAAATCTCAGCAAGCCCTAAGCAGGGAAAATACAAAGAAAAGCATGTTTCCTCAGTTACGACACAGTCAAAGAGCTGAACACCAAACATATACAGAAAACTCTGAAAGTAGTCAGAGGTTTAAAAAGAAAAGTAACAAAAAAACCAAGGTAATAATTGTGTAAATGACAGCTGATTTCTCATCAGAAACAGCAGAGGCCAGAACAGGGGAACAGTATCTTTAAAGGAGTGAAAAAATAAACCAAACTAGAATTCTATATCCAGTGAGAATATCCTTCGAGAATGAAGATGAAATACACATTCAGAAAAACAAAATTTAAATGAATACACTGCCACCTGTACAAGAAATGCTAGACAACTAAAATGCTATCAGGTAGAAACTCAAATCTTCAGGAAAATAAGAGCACAGAAAATGGTAAATTATCTGGATGAGTATAAAAACACTTTTTCATTTGATTAAAAAATACGTATGAGTGCTTAAAACAAATATTTTAACATTGTATTAGGGAGTTTAGAAGGTATAGAGGGGCAGTACAAATGACAACTACAGAATAAAGCAAGTGGGGAAAAGGGTTTAATTTGAAGTGTGCAATTGCACTGTTCTTAAATTTTACATAAAGTGGTATCCAGAATAAGTAGAAAAGGAAAAGTGAAGGCTGTATATTGTAATCCCTTTGAGCAGGGGTCAGCAAACTTTTTCTTAAATGGCCAAAATAGTAACTAGTTTAGGCTCTGGGGGCTAAGAGACAAAATTGAGGATTATATAGGTATTTACATAACCGTTTAAAGTTTCACCCTCCTGGGCGAAATCCATTCTTACAATTTTTTTAGAATTCCATTTCAATTTCCCAGTTGGCTTTTTATAGCCTTCCTTCCTCCCACTGGGCTTGCCTTTTTTCTTTAGCTCACTGTTTTACTTCCACATTCTTGCTTGATCTTTTAAAAATATAGTAACAAGAGCAAGAAGCCTATGAATGTGGGAGAGAACTGAGTGAGGCAGAGAGGGCAAAAAGGGAAAGCTCGAGTGCAGATGAAGGGCTGGAAGGTCACATGGTGGGCAGCACACAGGGTGGCCCCAGGGCCAGCACAACAGCCTCCCTCCCCAGCACCTGAGCGACGCCTTCTTGCCCCCAACCCCCTGGGCTGCCCAGTGTTCCCCACTCACCCGGGCCGGTGGCAGGTGGGCATTTTCTCTCTTCTCTCCAGGTTTCCTTCCCTTGCTCCAGCTGGGTGATGAGTTTGGGTTTAGAAAATGGAATCCCTGCTCATAGGAAAAGAAAACAATATGGCTGTAGGTTATAGGCTCAAAAGCCAGTTCCTGAATTCAGAGCCACACTGGGTGGGGAATTTCAAAAGGTGGTGGGAAAGACCTGAGAGTGGGGAGCTCTCTGCAGGGGAGGGGAAACCAGGATGACAGCTCACTGACCCTACTCCATCCTGGGGAGAGAACTCCCTCATTTAAAAGAAGATAATAACTAGGAAGACATGTCATGCTTACCCAAGAGACTGGGAGAAAAGGCCTAGAAATGCAGATTATCACATACACAACACACAGACACACACGCACCTCTACACATTTCAGTTCTACAAAATCAGACCTTCTCTGGGGAAAGAGGGAACAGAGTGTCTCTGCTTTTGAGTCCAACCCAAAGGCAAAGTCAGAAAGCAAGATAGCTGCTTCAAGCACAGCCTAAAGTACCCAGCTGCTGGGATACGGGTCCTGAGAGATACCAGGCTTACCCAGCGAGACCAGGTTGCTGTAGTTCTCCAGCATCACCTCCCGGTACAGGGACCTCTGAGCAGGGCTCAGCAGCATCCACTCCTCCTGGGTGAAATCCACAGCCACATCTCTGAATGCCATGTGTGCCTGTAACACAGAATACAGCCCTGCTCACCCAGGAGCCAGCCCTGCCCAGGACTCAGGGTCAGGGGCAGGCAGAAGCCTGCCCGGGGAGAGGTAGGTGAGATATCTAGATCTTGTCTTTGACCCTGGTGCTCTGTGTTCCAAGACTTTTAACCCCTGTCACTATCGGAGCAGTGGCACTTAACCTACACATTCGAGATACTGAATAGGCTGTTTCGGAGAATACCTACCAAAAAATGGAGTCTTTAACTTTCGGGAACATTAGGCTGAGGGAAGAGCAAATAACAAGAGCAAATCTAGGCTGAGGGAAAAGCAAATAACATAAAAATTAAACAACAGTAAAGCAACAGACTTTAAGAATTTAAAAGAATAGTCTGAACAATTTTTTTTTTCTTAAGCTTTGGTTCTGTTACTTGTTTATTTATTTTTGGCTGCGTTGGGTCTTCGTTGCTGCACGTGGGCTTTCTCTAGTTGCAGCGAGTGGGGGCTACTTTTTGTGGTGCATGGGCTTCTCATTGGGTGGCTTCTCCTATGGCGGAGCACGGGCTCTAGGCACGCGGGCTTCAGAAGTTGTGGCTCGCGAGCTCTAGAGCACAGGCTCAGTAGTTGCGGCGCATGGGCTGAGTTGCTCCACGGCACGTGGGATCTTCCCGGACCAGGGCTCGGACCCACGTCCCCTGCACTGGCAGGCGGACTCTTAACCACTGCGCCACCAGGGAAGCCCTGAACAATGGTTTTAAATGTTGAAGCATCAGAATGAAGTTAGTACCATTCAATTATGGCAAAGACCAAATACAACTCAGTCCTTCCCTTCAATCCCATGGGGCCCCTTCGGCCTTCCCTGGCCTGAGAGGCACAAGCAGCGAGTGGTAAAGAGCATGAACTTGAATCCTACTGCCTTGGTTTGGGGCCCACCCCCCCGTCAACTAGCACCTCTGTTTTCTCACTTACGAAATGTGGGTAACAGTCCATTAAACTTCCCGTCCCACACTGTGGATGCTCAGCGTGGACGTTCTTGGCTACTTGGTCTACAAATTCATCTCTATGTGCCATTCTTATCCGCCTGCCCCATTTTACTATCTTTACCTCAACACTATTTCAAAACGGAGAGTGCACTGGAATATAGACATCAGGAAAGGTTTCATGAGAGGCCCAGGAACTTGGTCTTGAGGGAAGGGCAGGAATCAAGGGAAGAGGAAGGTGCCAGGTATTCCTGATGAGGCGTGTGGGGAGCAAAGCAGAGGACACTGTGGGCCAAGAAAGAGAGAGCCTGAATCATGGGAAGCAGGACCACTTGGGAGGAATAAAAGGCACCTAGTGGTAGAATACAGAATAGGTCGCGTGTAGTAGCAGCCTGTAGGTTTTAAATTTTTATTGTAAAATATACAGAAACATTTTACTACTTTTACCATTTTTAAGTGCATATTTCAGTACATTAAGTATGTTGACACTGTTGTACAACCACCACCACTTTCCATCTCCAGAATTTGTTCATCATCCCATGCTGAAACTCTGTAACCATTAAACCCTGACTCCCTCTTTCTCACAAACCCTGGTAAACAACCATCATTTTACTTTGTCTCCATGTATTCAATATTTGGCTAGTCTGTGTATCACAAATAAGTGGAATCATACAGTATTTGTCCTTTTGTGCTGGCTTATTTCATTTAGCATGTCTTCAAGTGTCAGCCATGTACTCCAAAGAAGACATACAGACGGCCAGGAGGCACAAGAAAAGATGCTCCACATCATTGATTCTTAGAGAAATGCAAATCAAAACTACAATGAGATATCACCTCACACTAGTCACCATCAAAAAGTCTACAAACAATAAATGCTGGAGATGGTGTGGAGAAAAGGGAGCCTTCCCACACTGTTGGTGGGAATGCAAATTGGTGCAGCCACTGTGGCAAACAGTATGGAGGTTCCTTAAAAAGCTAAAAATAGAGCTACTGTATGATCCAGCAATCCCACTCCTGGGCACATATCCAGAGAAAACCATGGTTTGAAAGGATACACGTACACCAATGTCCACTGCAGCACTGTTTACAACAGCCAAGACATGGAAGCAACCTAAATGTCCATCGACAGATGAATGGATAAAGATGATGTGGTACATATATGCAATGGAATATTACTCAGCCATAAAAAAGAATGAAATAATGCCATCTGCAGCAATGTGGATGGACCTGGAGTGACGTAAGTCAGACAGAGAAAGACAAATATCATATGATTTTGCTTATATGCAGAATCTAAAAAAAAAAAATGACACAAACGAACTTATTTACATAACAGAAACATTCTCACAGACTTAGAAAACAAAGATGGTTACCAAAAGGGAAAGGTGGGGAGGAGGGATAAATTGGGAGTTTGAGATTGACATATACATACTACTATATTTAAAATAGATAACCAACAAGGACCTACTGTATAGCACAGGGACCTCTGCTCAGTATTCTGTAACAACCTAAATGGGAAAAGGATTTGAAAAAGAATAGATACATGTATATGTATAACTGAATCACTGTGCTGTACACCACAAACAAAACATTGTGAACTATACTACAATATAAAATTAAAAAAAAAAAAAGTTTCAGCCATGTTGAAGCATGTACTCAGAATTTCCTCCTTTTTAAGGCTAAAAAATACTCTACTGTATGTATATACCATTCCTCCACTGACGGACACTGGGTTTGTATCCACCTTTTAGCTATTGTGAATAATACTACCATACAAATTGCTTTCAGTTCTTTTGGGTATATACCCAGAAGTTGAATTGCTGAATCAAATGGTAATTCTATGTTCAGTTTCTTCAGGAAACACTGTACTGTTTTCCACAGAAGCCACACCATTTTATATCCCCACTAACAATGTAAAAGGATTCTAGTATCCCTACATCCTTGACAACACTTGCTGCTCTCTGAGTTTTTGGTAATAGCCATCATGTGAAATGTATAAAGTGATCTCTCATTGTGGTCTTTATTTGCATTTCCCTAATGATTAGTGACAGTAACCATCTTTTTATGTGCTTATTTGCTATCTGTATATCTTCTTGGCAAAAACGTCTATTCAAGTCCTTTGACGGTTCTTGAATTGGGGTGTTTGGTTTTTGTTGTTGCTCTCTGAGATCTTTATATATTCTGGACATTAATTACTTATCGGATATATGACTTGCAAATATACACTCTTTAATGAACAAAAGTTTTTAACCTTGATAAAGTCCAATTTATCTATTTTTTCTTTTGTTGCCTGGGCTTTTGGTGTTATTACCCAACAAATCATAACTAAATCCAACTTCATGAAGCTTTTCCTCAATGTTTTCTTCTAAGAGTTTTACAGTTTTAGCTCTTACCTTTTTAGGTCTTTGATCCATTTTGAGTTAATTTTCATTCTCTTCCATGTGGGTATAAGTTTTCCCAGCAGTGTCTATTGAATAGACTGTCCTTTCCACATGGAATGGTCTTGGTAGTGTTGTTGAAAATCACCTGATCATACATCTGTGATTAAGTTCTGAGCTCTCTGTTGCTGCTCTCAAGATTCTGTTGCCTTTGGCTTGATTTTAATGTATCTTGGTGTCAGTCTCTTTTAAGAGGTTATCCTACTTAGAGTTCATTAAGCTTCTTGGTTCCTCTTCACGTTTTCTATCTCTTTACTGACATTTCCATTTTGTTTTTACATTGTTTTCTTGACCTCGTTCATGTTTTCCATTAGCTCTGACAGCTGTCTTAAAGTCTTTTGTCTAGTAAGCCCACATAGTATGGCAACTCTGGAACTCAGATTCCCCAGATTTGCTTGGTTTTTGTTTTTGTTGTTGTAGTGTGTCTCCGTGCCGGGGTTCAATCTGAGGTGTAAACTAAAGGTTTTTCTTGCATCTTTTCTGATCCTGTGCCTTTCCACGGGTAATATTTCCAGGGATGGTAACTTCCTAAACTGACCAAGTCATGGGTCAAACAGGCTGCAGGTAAGATAAGTTACACTTCCAGGACTAGAGCTGGACTTTGCCAGGTGCCAACAAGGTGGTCAAGACAAGAGAAAGGATTGTGTCCATCCTGCGACAGCCAGTGTGGAAATGCAGGAAACACTCACCATTACCCTGGCTTCCCAGGACCCTGTGGCCATTTTTCCTGGTATCACTAAAGGATGATATCTCAGAAGGCAGATCCGTGTAAGGAAAGCAGAAATTAGAGGGTGTCAGCTGGAAATGCTCTCCCAGTGAGCGAGGCAGGGTCTGCTCTCCAACCCCACAGCTGGGGGAGGGGTGGCACGGTGGAAGTGTAACACTCTGGTTTTTACCAGGGCCCTGGAAAAAAGTTCAGAGTCAGGCCTTCAGTAGGTTTGGTCCCAAACTCTCCTGATCCCAACAAACTAAATGTAGAAGGACGTTTTTCAGGCTCTCTACTTGACTGTAGATGTTAACACATCATTATTAATTTGAGGGGTTGTGAAAATGGTATTATTGTGGTTGTTTTTTTAAAAAATATACACTGAAGTATTTATAGATGAAATGATCCACGGGATTGCTTTTAAAAACACTTCAGGAGGGCTTCCCTGGTGGCACAATGGTTAAGAATCCGCCTGCCAATTCCGGAGACACGGGTTCAAGCCCTGGTCCAGGAAGAACCCATGTGCCATGGAGCAACTAAGCCCATAAGCCCTAGAGCCCGTGCTCTGCTGAGCCCTAGAGCACGTGCTCTGCAATGGGAGAAGCCACAACAATGAGAAGCCCACGCACTGCGGCTGCAACAAGAGAAAGCCCACGGGCAGCAATGAAGATCCAACACAGCCAAAAATAAATAAATGTATTTATAAAAACAAACAAACAAAAAACACTTCAGGAAAAATTGGACAAACCACCCCCCTCCCAAGATTGCTACACAGTGTTTACTGTTAAAGCTGGGGTTTTATTATAGTTTCCTTGCTTTGAATATGTTTGAAATTTTTCCATTAATAAAAAATTATTAAAAAATTCTCAAACACCAAAGGAACCCAAAAACCAAAAACCCAGATGCAACAAATATGGCAAAATATAAACAAGTGTTAAATCAAGATGATGCACATAAGGACGTTCATTATGCTATTGACTCCTTTATTTTTAAGATTTTTCTTTTAAAACGTAAAAAGTATACACAGAAAAAACACTGCATTGTGAACAAAACCAGAGAAACCTAAAGCAATAATGAAGGACAAAAATTGGCCATTAGAATCAATTATCAATTCATTTCCCCTTTGGTAACCATAAGTTTGTTTTTGAAATATGTGAGTCTGTTTCTGTTTTGCAAATAAGTGCGGGGAACTAAGATACTGCAAACCACACAGCCAAAAAAAAAGAAAGAAATGAAGACTAAATTTTAAGACACCAAGGAAGAATAGAGTGAAATGAAAACATGATGGCCACTGAAAGCTAACAGGAGGAGATGAAAATGAAAGAAAGAAGTAAAAAGAGTTAGAGAAAAAATGGTTGAAATGGAAAACAGACAAACAAAGAATTTCATTTGTATAATTGCAGCTCCTGCAGAAGAAAACAAAGAAATAAACCAAAAAAGGGTTGGGGTGGGGGTGGGGAGGGAACAGAACTAATATTTAAAACTATAACCCAAGAAAACTTCAAAAATAGATGACATGAATCACAGCAATATCTTTCTTGACCCACCTCCTAGGGTAATGAAAATGAAAACAAAAATAAACAAGTGGGATCTAATTAAACTTAAAAGCTTTTGCACAGCAAAGGAAACCATAAGCAAAATGAAAAGACAACCCACAGGATGGGAGAAAATATGTGCAAATGAAGCGATCACCAAGGGATTAATCTCCGAAATATACAAGCAGCCCATGCAGCTCTATGTCAAAAAAACAACCCAATCAAAAAATGGGCAGAAGAGCTAAACAGACATTTCTTCAAAGAAGACATACATATGGCCAAAAAGCACATGAAAAGATGCTCAACATCACTCATTATCAGAGAAATGCAAATCAAAACTACAATGAAGGATCACCTAACACTGGTCGGAATGGCCATCATCAAAAAATCTACAAACAATAAATGCTGGAGAGGGTGTGGAGAAAAGGGAACCCTCTTGCACTGTTGGTGGGAATGTAAATTGGTATAACCACTATGGAGAACAGTATGGAAGTTCTTTAAAAAACTAAAAATAGAACTACCATATGATCCACCCATCCCACTCCTGGGTATATACCCAGAGAAAACCATAATTAGAAAAGATACATGCACCCCAATGTTCACTGCAGCACTAGTTACAGTAGCCAGGATACGGAAGCAACTTAAATGTCTATCAACAGAGGAATGGATAAAAAAGATGTGGTACATATATACAATGGACTATTAGCCATAAAAAAGAATGAAATAATGCCATTTGCAGCAACATGGATGGACCTAGAGATAATCATACTAAGTGAAATAAGTCAGAAAGAGAAAGACAAATATCATGTGATATCACTCATATGTGGAATCTAATTTTTTTAAATTTATTTATTTTCTTTATTTTTGACAGCGTTGAGTCTTTGTTGCTGTGCGCTGGCTTTCTCTAGTTGCGGCGAGTGGGGGCTACTCTTCCTTGCAGTGCATGGGTTTCTCACTGCGGTGGCTTCTCTTGTTGTGGAGCATGGGCTCTAGGCACGCAGCCTTCAGTAGTTGTGGTGCCCAGGCTCAGTAGTTGTGGCTCACAGGCTCTAGAGCACAGGCTCAGTAGTTGTGGTGCACAGGCTTAGTTGCTCTGTGGCATGTGCGATCTTCCCGGACCAGGGCTCGAACCCGTGTCCCCTGCACTGGCAGGCGGATTCTTAACCACTGCGCCACCAGGGAAGCCCCTGGAATCTAATTTTTTAAAATGATATAAATGAACTTATTTACAAAACAGAAACAGACTCGCAGATTTCAAAAACAAACTTATGGTTACCAAAGGGGAAATGTGTGTGGGGGGGGATAAATTAGGAGCTCGGGATTAACATACATACACTACTACATATAAAATATATAGATAGACCAACAAGGACCTACTGTATAGCACAGGGAACTCTACTCAATACTCTGTAATAACCTATATGGGAAAAGAATCTAAAAAAGAATGAATATATGTATATGTATAACCGAATCACTTTGCTGTACACCTGAAACTAACACAACATTGTAAATCAACTGTACTCCAACAAAATTTTTTTTTAAAATGACCTGAATCTAAATATGGAAGGGCTTACAGAGTACAAGGGAAGAATTGACTCACAACCAACAACTTCAAGGTATCTACTGGAAAAACTATCAGACTTTGAAGAATAACAACAAAAATCCTAAGTGACTCTAGGCAAAAAATATACCAGACTTCCATCAGACTTTTCATAATCGTCATTCAACCCTTGTGCATTGCTGGGGGGAATGTACAATGGTGCAACCACTATGGAAAATAATATAGCAGTTCCTCAAAAAATTAAAAATAGAAATTATCAAAAAAAAAAAGAAATTATCATATGATCTACCAGTTCCACTTCTGGGTATTTCCCCAAAAGAATTGAAAGCAGGGACTTGAACAGATATTTGTACACTTGTGTGAGCAGCATTATTCACAATAGCTACAATGTGAAAGTAATCCAAGTGTCTGTCAATAGATGAATGGATAAACAAAATGTGGTATATATATACAATGAATATTATTCAGCCTCAAAAAAAATTCTGACACATGCTACAACATGGATGAACTTTAAAGATATTATGCTAAGTGAAACAAACCAAACACAAAAGGACAAATACTGTATGATACCACTTATATGAGGTACCTAGAGTAATCCATAGAGACAGGAAGCAGAATGAAGGTTGAGAGCAGTTGGGGGGAAGGGGAAATAGAGAGTTACTGTTTAATGGGTACAGAGTTTCAGTTCTGCAGGTGGAGAGTGCGGATGGTTGCACAACAATATGAATGTACTTAACGCTACTGAGCTATACACTGAAAATGGTTAAGATGGTAAATCTTATGTTATATATATTTTACCACATTAAATGCATGGCAAAAATATACCATCATTCAAAGCAATAAGAAAATATTCCACCATGACAAAGTGGGATTTACCCAGAAACGTAAGACTGGTTCAATATTAGAAAATCCATTACTATAATACACTATATTAATGAACAGATCCAAGAAGAAAAATCATGATTGCATTTATACATGCTGAAATATTCTTTAACAAAACTCAACTCTCATTCTTCCAATATCCAATTCAATGTAAGATTGATGAATCCATAAAACTTTTCATTTTTAATTTTAGACTTAAAAAGAAGTTGCAAAAATGTCAATTCCCATAAAACCGTCACTTAGTTTTCTCTAAAGTTAACATCTTGGAAAACCAAAATACAATGATCAAAACCAGGAAATTAACATTGATATAATACTATTATCTAAACTACAACTCTTAACCACATTTCAACAGTTTTTCCACTAATGTCCTGTCCTTCCTCTGGTCCAGATATCAACTGAGCTTCCAACATTGCATTTAGCTGTCATATATCTTTCATCTCCTCCAATCTGTGACAGTTCCTTCTTTCATGAAAGTGACATTTTTGAACAACATCCGTCAATTTTGGTTTATCTGATTTTTAAAAAATGATTAGAATGATATTAGTTCATTTGGGGCTAGAATTCCTCAGAAGTCATGTGTCTTTTTCAGTGCACCCTATCAAGGGGTTCGTGATATTGATATGTTTCATTATTGACGATGTTAACCTGAATCTTGATCACTTGGTTAAGGCAGTGTCTGCTGGCTTTCTCCATTGCAAAGTCACTCTTTTTCCCTTTATAATTAATATGTATCTTGGGAGAGATACTTTGAGATTATACAAATAACGTATTTCTCTTCAATCTTCCACCCACTAATTTCAGCATAATTTTGTGGGACCTGTCTGCAACAATTATTACTGTGGTGTTGACCAAATGACAATGTTCTATTTCCCTCTTTCATTCTAAATTCATTAACTGGGGACTTCCCTGGTGGCACAGTGGATAGGACTCCATGCTCCCAATGCAGGGGGCCTGGGTTCGATCTCTGGTCAGGGAACTAGATCCCACAT